AACAGCTCACGCAATAGCTCTTTTTGGGCAAGAAAAATGTGTGTTTACCTTTCAATATTTTTCTGAACAACTCTTGGTCCACATCCTTCAGGTTTTTCGACATTGATTCGATTTCTGGGGGTATCCTGCCTCCCAAAAAGCTAGAGTCCCGTTCAAGGCTCGAAGACATGACTAATATACACAGATAAAAGAAAGTGAGATAATGAATTTAAGTAAAGACGTTTGCGATGTATATTTCTGTCATAAATGTAAATGATTTCTGTTTCTGCTTCCGCCTTCAGATCACATGGCATTAGTCTCACTTTTGGAAGTCTCGCGATGAACGAGGCTTAGATCATCGTTAGAAAACGGATTTGCAAATGGAGTCAGTAGAAATGGTCCTCCTTTGAACGGAAAAAGGTTGGTATTTCAGTTCAAAGAGCATCTTAATTATAGGTTTGCTGAATTATAATCCATTTAGATTTATTACTGCGGAGAAAATAATAGTTATGTCTCGTGTTGTTGTTTGGTAAACGCTACATAGACATATCCACGTAGCTAAGGCGATATGTACCCAGACGTATTGATGCTAGCTATCTTTTTATGTTGGATTCTCATCTTGCCTTCTTTTTTGTAAGGCAGCATGTCAGGCTGTTGTTAAGAAAACAAACTGTTGTGAGAGTTGGGCGCTTAACATGGATGATGCGTAACGTAAACAATTAACCCTGATGAACATAATCAGTAAGTAGCGTAACTAGCTTTGCCCACTAGTGTTAATGTTTGCAGCAAAGAGCCAGAGGCGAGCTTAGCATTAACCGATTGTGAATATTTAGGTGAAAGAAAGTTTTGCTTTGCTAAGGGACGTGTAAGATTTTTGTAGTTACATAACTGTTATTTTTTTCCACATGAGATTATTGACAACAGAGGTACAAACTGTACCGGATGGGGGTGGGGAGGTCCATCAAAGTCTGTTCATTGATCAGTGTTCAAACTGAACTAAATACATTAAGATTTTTTTAAAGCGTCAAAAGCAGTACATTTGGATTTCTAAACGTGATGTCTGCCCCAACTGATCATTATGTAGGAAATATTCACTTCCACCCCACAAAATACAAGGTACATAACGTCAATAAGCACATTCACACACATTTTTATTTGGTAAAATATCTGCATATGTATCCCAAGATAAACTGGTGTCAGGAGTGTATGGTTTGTTTTAAAAAGTGGGGTCTTTGTCTAAATTCAGCTGAATCTTCCTAACATATTCTTGACAGGTAAATGTAAAATCTATAAGGATACATAATGACAGTTTTTCAAGGAATACTTTATTATTAACTCTGTCCTAATGTATTTTTGTTAAATACAACAAGCTTTTTCCTCACTGCATATCACCAAGTATAGAAGACCAAAGGATTTTTTTTGTATGACAATTAACTAGCTAATGACAGTGTTGTATTATTATTATAATTAGCAATATGTCAGTTGTCTACACTTTGCATCAATAACTATGTCTACAAACCAAGTTGGGACAACAGTGTATATTGGACACAGTCATCATGAACACAGTAACCTCTCAGTGCAATACCCATGCAACTGGCACAACTACATTTGTGGAGTGCAACAGATATAGTATTCAGTTTGGTGGTAATTATTGAGGCTGTAGCTATAGTGGAAGATCCCATGTTCTTTGTGTCTTAGATTTGTTTTCTTTATCAGGTACATCTAGCCATGTCTGAATCTCTGTATGAGAAGTTTTTGGCCCCAGAGGAACCGTTCCCTCTCCTTTCCCAAAGAGCCAACCTCAGTGATGTGGGTACCCTGGATGTCAGTGACTTTGGTTGTCAGCTGTCATCTTGTCACCGAACAGACCCTCTACACCGCTTCCACAGTAACAGGCAAGTAGAGTGTATGTATTTGAAATACATGTTCACGAGTGTCACCTGTGTGAGGAAAATGGGCTTTCCAAAGATATTTTTATATATGTGGCTAATTTAACTTAAGCTTGCCACCTTCTTGTTTGGGCACAAAGCCGGGTGTACCACCAGCTGCTGCAGGATGTGCCATTGCTGCATTCACCTTACTCTGATATTGAGAAATGTCAATGTACTTGTCAAGTTGCACGTGTCCAGATGGATGGTACCAGAAATGCTTGTTTACAGCTGTGGTAGTTCAATAGTAATGATGTATTTCATGCAGGTTTGCAGGGTTTTTTTCTAGGTTTTTGGTGTTTTCAGACAGTTTAGGCACTTTTATGTCAGGGGAAGGGCTAAAATTATTTGAAGGATATTCTAGCTTAGCTATGTTAGCAATTTCTTTACTTGCACTGTGTGTACGTTTTTGTAAAATGATTTTGCTCGATTTTCCTGTCTGGTGGTCATTGCATGATCAACATGTAGAATAGGATATAGCCTATATAGAATTATAGATTCAAATTTATGGTCATGGTATGAAAATTGATGGTAATCATACCATGCACACATACCCTGTGTGTGTGGGTGTGTGTGAATGAAGCAACAGACAGGTCTGGCTGCACTCTTGTGCATCTACAGTACATTAACAACTATTTTGGTAATCGTTTAGAGCAGTTTGACGGCATGTTTCACTATTGGCAGAGGTTTTACAAACCAGTCAGTCGATTACTGGAGAAAATAATCAGCAGTTACACTTGGATACAAAATAGTTCGAAACAGCTCCATCTCAACCGGCTACAACAAGTCCTGGTTTTACACCAGTGGGCTGTTAATATAATGATAGAATATATAAAATTTTTCTGCATTGAGTAGCCTACTAATACTTTAAATAGTTTAATTATGTTTTTGTGTTAATACTTACTTTTACTAAACATTAATGCTGGACATTTTGTAACAAACTTTTTTTTCCTGAGGGTTGTTGTAGCTGATAATAATTGTGTAATACAGTATATAATAATACTGTGAAACTGTGATATTTTCTGAGATGGTTATCATCCCTTTTTCACCCTACCTCCTAATAGTGACGCTGGTCATTGCTGAACTCAAGCCAATCAGATCCTGCTCAAAGTTAAGCGTGCGCTGCTGCCACTCACTCCAGTAGCCTAATGTCTGTCGTAATGACAAAATACAGTATGTCATAATTACAAGAAAAATATTGTGTTAATGTTAAAGGATCCCATTATAACGAGAAACGTTTCTTCTTTAGCAAATATTTTTCTCCTGGTGACAGCAATGTGCTGCTGTAGGTGGTTCTTGTGCGTGCTATAAAATTGAATCCTGCAGGCGCCACTGGCTATCAGTATTATTACTGTTCAGAAGAATTACTCACCAGCAGTTTACTAAACTACTTCATGTATTCTTTGTGGAGGAAGCTAAAAGTACCCCTTTGCCCATCTGGCAGTACTTTGGGTAAAAACAAACAAACAAGCAAACAAAATGCTAACAAAAGTGCAGAATTTATTCTTATGTAATGTATCGTAAAAGATGGACAGATGATTGGTCTTCAAAACCATTTCCATGTACACCATCCTGCAGAATATGCTATATTGCCATCAGTGATGTGGGATCAGTTGGTAGCTTTATCTGTGAAGACGTTTCATGTTGTTGGAACTACAGAAACACTCAGTTCACTCTAATCATTCAGTGGTGTTACAGAGTGATGCCTCTCTACCTTATGAACAGTCTTCAGCTAACAGCATGTTATCCTGAATACACTGGTGCACTGCACACAATGTCTCCTCCATCTATAACATTGCATATCTCTTGTTAAGATGCTGACATTTGAGATGCGCTTTACAGAAATTCAGTTGTTTGAAAGGCATCATTGAACTATACATCCTTATCTTGTTTGCTCAGCACTTACTCTTAGGGAAACAATCAGAACCTTTCCCAGAATTTGCTCATAATTTGTTTTGAAACCCACTCATTGTTCTCCCCAGGTGGAACCTTACTTCCTGTGGGACCAGTGTCGCCAGCTCAGAGTGCAGCGAGGAGCTCTTCTCCTCTGTGTCTGTAGGGGATCAGGACGAGTGTTACTCCCTGCTGGATGACCAAGAACTGACATCTTTGGACTTGTTTCCAGAGGGCAGTGTTTGCAGTGATGTCTCCTCCTCTATTAGCACCTACTGGGACTGGTCTGACAGCGAGTTTGAGTGGCAGGTTGGTGTGTAGCAGATTTTAATATACTGTAGGTGCTTAAAGAGGTCACTAGAACATGCTTTGTTTGGGTGTGGATATTAAAGTGATTGCTTTGTTTAAATTCAAACTGTAAGTGGGGAGTCCATTCTAAACAATTTGTCTTCCTTTGTTTTTGACTCCAACGTCATTGTTGATCTGTCTTACTGGTGTTGTCGCAGTTGCCAGGAAGCGATATCACCAGCGGCAGTGATGTCCTCTCTGACATCATCCCGAGTGTGCCAAGTTCACCCTGTTTGTTTTCCAAGAGGAAGCCAAAGCCCCACCCTCATCGTAACCTGGATGAACTACCTTGGAGTGCCATGACCAACGATGAGCAAGTAAATAAAAGAAATACACTTTTTTTACGCTATAGCATAGTGCTCAGAATTGTCAAACAGAAACATTGAAAGTCTCAGTTATGCTACTAGCTTAAGTTTTTGCAGAGCAGGGCAAGAAATCTATCTGACACAATATAATAGGCAGGCAGTGATCCCTGGGCAAAAGCAGTAAATCTCCATGTGTGTGTTGCCACGTCCAGGTGGAGTACATTGAGTACCTGAGCCGGAAGGTCAGCACAGAGATGGGCCTCAGAGAGCAGCTGGACATCATCAAAATCATCGACCCATGTGCTCAAATCTCTCCCACTGACAGCGAGTTCATCATTGAGCTCAACTGCCTCACCGATGAGAAACTCAAGCAGGTGGGCAGCATCTCTGAAACCCAGTAATGCGACTTTGATTCAGCAGTTTGCTTTGTCATTATTGTTGTGTATTAGAGACAAGCGCTAACTCCTAATCTCTGAGTAAAAAAACTGCGTTATTCTGCAGGAGAAAACATAGATTTTATGACCTGTATGATACCATCAGGTACGCAACTACATCCGAGAACACGGCCCCAGGCAGCGCGCGAGCAGCACCAGAGAGGGCTGGAAGAGAAGCAGCCACAGCAGCGCCAGCACCGGCGGTGTCAGTGGAGTCAGCAGCAGTAATGCCAGCATGGTCAGCTCTGCTAGCTCCTCTACTGGTTCCACAGCCTCCAACTCTGCAGCAGGTAGGTTGTTACCTGATTGGCTCACAGTTTAGTTGGCAGTAATGGTGCCATCGCCCAGAGGGGCCTGCAGCATTAGAGTATTTCAGCTCAGCTGTCTTGACTTTACAGTGGCTGAAAGGCACTTTTACTGTTGAAATGCAACACTGAGTTAAATTTCCATTTTAGTTTCAGTTATTTGCAGGTCTTCCTAGTTATAATACTGTATATTGTCTTGTATTTCAGGTGGTACAGCCTCAGCCTGTAGTGGCAGCAGTGTTACCAACATTAGCAGAGCTCACAGCGATGGCAACCTTTCCAGTGCTGCAGAACGTATACGAGACTCTAAAGTAAGAGTCCAAAGGAGCATCTACAGAGTAGTCAGTTAAGAGTCTGAATACTCAGATTTCAGTTTTTGATTCTTAATACATTTGCATAAAACTTTAAAAACTTGTTTGCCACTTTATCATTACTGAATATAGGCTGGATACAAATTGTGTCGATTTCAAGTAAAATTTGCAACAGTAAGATGAGCAGAATGTGGATGAAATATTCTGTGAAGCCACTGTGTCATTAATGTAAACTAATCCATTCTAGGTTTTATTCCTGCAGTATGTAACTACACTTTTTTGTGACTTAAATACATGTGCACTTCTTTTACAGCCATTTCATTGTCCCCACCACTTCACAGAGCACAAGGTCCTGACCTAGGTGTCATACTAACCTCTGTCCTGTCTCTTCAGAAACGTTCAAAGCAGCGTAAGCTTCAGCAGAAAGCCCTCCGGAAGCGGCAGCTTAAAGAGCAACGACAGGCTCGCAAGGAGCGTCTGAGCGGACTGTTTCTGAACGAGGAGGTGCTATCGCTACAAGTGACGGAGGAGGACGGCCACGGTGATGACCTGGACATACTGATGTGACACCAGTGAATCAGTCAGTGCTCCCTCTACGCCTGCTCTCTCACCACCCAGCCAATACCATAAAGTTTAGAGACTGCACTAATCCAGATCATTGCATGCAGTAGCTCTGAATTGGCCGATATGCTCATAATGCATTTTGCAGAGTCTGGTCATAATAGCTTCTTCTAGCCTTCTTCTAGTTTGACAAATTGTTTGCTAATACCACTGTAGCACTGTTAATGCTAAAACTGCTAGCTGTTGCAGTCACTACTCAGTGAGCTATGGTAACTAAAATCCTGCTACTGCTATCATTAGATCCTGACCTCAGTATATCCTGCAGATAGCAGGTGCTAATGCTGCAATAGTTTAGAAGCTTGCAGATACCACTATGGCTGTTATTTTAGCTTAATGCAGCAAATAAGAGGATTGCTTATAGATGCTGTAATAGCATATCTGTACTGCTACAAATACAGCCATGACTGGCAGAAGGACAGATCAGTAAGAGAAGTGGAGTTTGGCCATATTGTGTTGATACTGCTCTGAATTCAGGTGATGGCAACAAGTTTATTTTTTCATAACACTAAAGGGGAAACTACATGTTGGCGAGCACACTGCAGCAAATACTTGAATAAATACCTCAAGTTATACAGTCAGCATGACATGAGTGTGAAGTATCATCACTTTTAGCATGACAGTAAATTTACTGCGAGTATGAGTGGCCTCCTCACAGTCTTAAGACTGAACCCTCACAATGATTAAAGAGTTCTCTAAATGATGAATATTTGCCTAATTCGGAGTTGAGGACTACATTCCCTGGGAGTTTGGTGTCACTCCTGATAATCATCGTCCCAAACTAACAGCTAACTAATTCCAAGTGACAGGGTTCCCAATGTGGAAGGAAGCGAGCTGACCTGTCTTTCTCTCAGAGCGCTGTGGTCTCATTTCACTCTCAAGGCTTAGAGGGAGCACTGAAACACTGCATGTCTAAATTGTGAGTTCCTGTGCTGTTCACTAGCCAGCAACTTGCTTCATTATGTGCATCAACCTGCTAAAATAGATTGTGTTGTAAATAACATCATATTTACTGCATATTGCTTTCAGGTTTTTCTGGGTGATAAAGGTTTGAATTAATGTTTTATTCCCCTGTGAGCGTGTGTATATATTATAGTATTTGGCCATCACAACTTTAATGCTGTAAATTGCGACTGTTTTGCAAAAGCTATAAACTTTTTTTGATGAATTTACTTGTGTTTTGTTAGTACTTGAGCTTGGTCTTTGTCTCAGACATCTTTTGAACTCTGTCATAGCTTCTTTTTCTCTGTGAGCACTCCTACTTTATTTGTGCCTGAGACACTCAAATAATCATTAGGTCTCTATCATTCATTTTTGTGTACAGTTTTGAATGACTTCACCATCATGACAGTTGCGAGAATCTGAGCATTGATTACGTTTTTACAGATCACTGTCCTGCACTGTATGGCTGATTTGGCTTTGGTGCTGGTTTCAGCATGTGTAACCAGTATTTAGCCATTACCTCAGAAGTGTTTGTTTTACTCTGAAAAATTTTACATCTAAAACAAAGTGTTAATGAAGCAGTAACAAGTCAAAAACAGATCTTTAGGGAACTTTAGCTACACCATCACTTTCATATTTATAGCAGCCTGAGATATTTTTTTGGTTTGTGTTTTTCCCACTGCTCAGCTGTAACATGAGCCACTGTAGTTACTGGCCTAACAGCCTGCTGTCCTTTATGTATGGAGCTTTGGCTCTTGTCTCTGTCTCATGTATAAAGTTAAAATTAAATACAGCAAATATGTTGGAAGCAGCTTCATGTATTCTGTAGTAACGGATTAGTAAAAATCTATTTTGAAAAATAAGATGATTTTGAAAAAGAAGATTCAAAATAAGCCACAATCTGATGCAGCAAAGTTATTTGTGTATATAATGTGATGTAACTGCTGAAAATGAATTGTATTGAACTGATTAAAGAGTATTTTAAAGTGTTGTAGTGTAAAATGCTTTTTCATTAGGAAAAAAATATTTTTCACCAACCAGCTTTCAATGAGGTAAAGACATTTTTGCCATCAGTTACAATAACCAAGTGTTTTGGTAGTGTTTTTTTTTATTTTATTTTTTTATTTTTACATGTATTAGTTTCTCATATCCCAGAGTGTTGCCTGCAGTCGTCCCTATTACCTTAATGTTGCTGGGTGGTTTTGACGGTTATAATTCTGACAAACCTTTGTTGTTGCATCATATTGTTTTTTGGTTGTTTGTGGCATTTTTCAAATGTGAATGTTATTTTCTCAACACTGACCAGATAAAATCACAATCATGACATAAAATATAGTGAAGCTTTTCGGGGTCTGGGGCATTGTCCGGCTTTATCCAGTCTATAATTCAGCCTTGAGTAAAATAGGCAAAAATACATTTTTTCATGATTTACATTTTAAAATAAAAATGTTTTGAAGACTATTTTAACATTTATTAAATTCGGGTTGCTTTTTTGGACTGTGGGAGGCAGCATTAACGTTACGCCCTGCCGGAAAAAGGAGAGACGAAGAAGAAGAAAGCGGATGTGACGTCGTGCTGTTTATGATCTACAATACGCAGTTGCTAGTACAGCTGAGATAATAAAGCGGATCTAATAAGATTTTCTCTCCAGATTCTCATGTTTACTTGAATTGTTTTGTCGTAGTTTTCGAATGTCAATGGGCTCACACGGGGTTTTGGGGAACGAGCCCGAGTCTATAGACTACTCGGTGCATGAAGCCTGGAACGAGGCCACCAATGTCTACCTGCTAGTTATCCTGGTCAGCTTCGGCCTGTTGATGTACGCCCGAAAGTAAGGACAGATTACAGTGTCCCATCATACGCCGTTTAAAATAAAAACATCACATTTAATGTTTTCCTTTCTTACGCGAAGTATGCGTGGTATGATTTTAAAACGCATTTTGTGTCTTTAGGTAGATTCAGCTTTAATTAAATTTCCCAAAATATATCATTTTAATTTTAACTTTGAAGTTCGGCTGGTCTAACGTGGCCTTTCGGCACAAATGTGGTGTTGTTTAACCTATTTTTGTCTTATCGCCTTTCTATTCACATAAAATTTAGGAACAAGAGGAAGATCATGCGCATCTTCACCCTGCCTCCCACCGTCGGCAGCAGCCCGGAGCCCAACTTTTACGACAGCCTGCAGAAGGTCCGCCTGCGACAGCAGCTGGAGATGTACTCTCTGGGTGGGTGGCGCTGTAGACAGACTATTTCTGACTTGTTAAAGACTGCACCCTACTCTTCCCCATTGTCCCTCAGAGGAGTGACTTCCAGTTTGATCGGTTAAGAGTCCGTATGGGCCACAGAATTGTTTAATGTAGAGAAAAGGGATATAGTAAGTGGCACTGCAGCTTTTTCCCCCCACACACTATTTTTTGGTTACATTTAGGCTGTTGCTCCCATGTAAACATCTGAACTAGCAAATGTTTCTGATGTTTTAATTTGATGACCCAGACCTTGAACAGTCCAAAAAGGTCCCTGTATGTCCTATTCTCAAGGTAAATGAAAAATGCCACCCGTCTTGTCTTTCAGCCAGGAAATTTGAGCAGCAGCAACAGGGCCAGACAGACAGTGTGCAGCTCTCCATGGAATGAAAGCAGGAAGACACGCCTTCCCTCCTGTGTCTTTCAAGTCATCCCTGTACAGGGATAGAGAAAGGCGCCATGATCCACGGATGCCACTCCTATCCTGATTGTTTGACTCCTGGAACAAGGATTGTCTTATTTAACCTAATGTTGTCTCCTCTTCGTGTGTACACATGAAGCGGATACAGCCGAATGGATGGGGAAAAGGCCAGGAAGGCTTTAAGGAACATGGCATCTTACAGGTCTACTGTACTGCACACAGAACAGTGACACTAATATGGTGAGTGATAAACCCATAACTGCAGCAGGTGTCACTGACGTATTTCCAAGTACGGCATGAGAAAAAGTTCTACAATGAAGAAACCGTTGCACATCAAATAAGATACTTCAAAATCAGCAGAGATTCTATATGTTTATTACTTGTTAGGTATGTTTTGTCTCACATAGTAATATTATAATGATAAAATGTGAAAATAAAGACAAATCTAAAGTAATTCAGTCAAGAGATTTATTTGTTTGGGGTAAGGGCGTTACTCCACCCAAATTGTGAAAGCAAAATAAAAATTAATTCAACTCATTATCTAGTGATGCTGAGATATCCGAGTCATCCCATTACTCTTTGACAGATGAGCTTGTAGATGGTCCTCACAGTTGCTGCTAAAAGGCTGATTTTTTTGCCACAATAGTGGTGCTCTGGGGACAACAATGTCCAAGCAGAAAAATAAATAAAAAAACTTCCAGATGGATTGCTGTCTGATACAGTAACAAAGTATTTTTTTTTTGTTTTTTTTTTTACATGAATCCTACCAACATACCTCCATGTTAATATTTAAGATTTAAGCAAATCTTAAAAACATGACTATTATTTCAACAAATTAGCAGCGTCTCCAAGAAGCACTCAAAGATCACAACTAGCGAGCAGGCTTTATTTGTACTGAAACAGTACATTGGAAGATTAAATAGAACATTGACATTTACTGCAAACAAAAGATGCCTGCAGTGTAAACATGGCCATGGCGTACACATCTTTTGGAAAGGTTTGATTTCCTGCACAAGACTGTTTAAAGCTTGGCATCAATATTTTTAGGGAAAATATACATATTGCTCCAGGCATAAAATAAACTGTACAAAGCATGTTCTCACATGCCTCAACTCATGTAAGAAAGCAGAGTAAAAAAAATAATAATTCTCAAACTATACAACAGTGCAATTATATACAGAAAAAGGCAGCTATCAGGAAACAGCCACAAAGCAAACTGTTTATTCACACAGCACAGCAAGCTGATTGATTTTTGCACAAGTAAAATATAGTTCAAGTGCAAGTAAGATACTCATCTGCAAGGCAACATGCTTTATTGAGCAGTAAACCGTCAGTGGTGGCTTAGAGGGCAGATGTCCACGTTGTCTGCAGGGAGCGCTCTGGCATGCTGGGACCTCCAGTCTCCGAGGAAGAGCTCCTCTGCTTGGCTCTGCAGAGTCTGCTGGCCTTTTCCAACCTCTGATCCCGTCTGGTTTACCACCAAGCCCACACCAGCAGTCTGCGTGAAGTAGTTCTCGGACCAGTTGGACGTCCCTGTGGACACGACATGTTTATCAGACTGCATGATAGTCACACAAATTGGCAAGATTAACATCTAAGATCTAGGTGAGATGTACACTCTTACCACCACATGGGTCTCATCCAGGAAAATAATCAGCTAAATCTTAAATAGCTAGATGCTGAGGTGTGTCTAACAGTGGTCAAGACTTTCCTCACGGTGGGGAGGAATTTCCTCTTACTGTGAAATGGTATAATCAATAATCTAGCCAGTGTGATTTATATTGTAAGTGATTATGAATACAATTGAATCTTATTTTGCAGTGGAGCAAGAATATAATAATATAATATAATCACCTTTATTTGGCCAAGTATGTTACACACAAGGAAATTGTTTCCGGTACAGAACCGAGGCAGCCATCTGCGGCACCAACTCACACCAATGGCTCTAACCATCGGGGGCAACTTGGGGGTTCAGTGTCTTGCCCAAAGTGGCACTTTGACATTTGGACTGCAGGCACCTTGATTCGAACCTCCAACCCTCCGGTTGGGAGACGACTGCTCTACCCACTGAACTAATTTAAATTAACTGTATAAAAATGTGACTTCTGAAAACAAACTGACTTGCTCTGGAAAGAGCTGTAACATTCTCCGTACACTTTTCCTCACTTTTTTATATAATAAAATCAGATTTAAAGGATAACAAAATTAAATGAGGGCGATTTTTTTTTCCTTCTCTGAAGAAAAGGGATAATGCTCCATCCATCCATTATCTATACTGCTTATTCCTGAATAGGGCCACAGGGGGCTGGAGCCTTTCCCAGCTGGGCCAGAGGCGTGGTACACCCTGGACAGGTTGTCAGTCTGTCACAGGGCTGATATGTAGACAAACACCTACACTCACACTCCTATGGGCAATTTAGAGTCGCCAGGCAACCTAAGCTGCATGTCTTTGGGAGGAAGCTGGAGTACTCGGAGAGAACCCACGCAGGGACAGGGAGAACATGCAAATACCGCACAGAAAGGCCCTGGGTTGGCCGGGGCTCAAACCAGGAACCTTCTTGCTGTGAGGCAATGGCACTAACCATGGGACTAACCACAGCGCCATTGTGCTGCCCCAATGGATAATGTTTTAGAAATTAAATATATGTTTGGTATGAAAAATAATTTGCAAAATAACTAGTACCTAAAACTGTAGCAGAGTAAAAGTATAATATTTGCCCAGAACTCTAGTGGAACAGAAGTATAAAGTGGCATAAAATGGAAACACTTCACTGAAGTCAAAATACTTCAACACTTAAGTATAGTTCTTTAGTTGTATTCCATCTCAGTCTGTAACAGTTGATACTCATGTTTGAGGGTACCTATGTAGACCACTCTGTCTGTAACCATGTACTTGGCGTGATTGACTCGTGCAAAGGGGATCTTCATCTGCTCTGCCGTTGAAGGCACTGTAAAGATTTTCTGCACAGAGACAAAAAAACAACAGAAGTTCGGTGACAGATCACAGTTCTGTGAGTCCTCTTTAGCCATGAAGGACAGGAAGTCTTCCAACTCACCACGTCAATGGCACATCTCAGCGGAGGCCTGTTGAGCACCAGCAGTGACTGCAGGAAGGTGAACATGGAGGCAGGCGAGTGCTCCCAGCAGCTAACCATCAGTCTGACCTGCACCCCTTTGGTGCAAGCTGCGGCACGCAGAGCCGAGTCGATGGCGGGCCAGAACCTGAGTGTGACACCACAATGCAGACTGAGCTCAGCAGGCAAAGCTTTTCGGAAGGCAGATCAGTACTGTCAATACTGTGCCTGTGGTGCTTGTGGGCAGAAAAAGAAAAGACTATGTGCTCTAATGAAAAGGAAGCAGATACAGAGGACACATTTTCTGTATTTATATTTTACAGTCTACAGCGTAGTCTACATGTCAGAGAGAGTCTCAAAACAGTACGCTTTGGACGTGGCCAGGCACATCTCAGCTGGACTTCATGCTGACTGGCTCGCTGCCAGTTTAACAAGTTTCTAGCATTTCATTTAAGAAGCCTCCAGTCAGAGGTAAACCTCATTTTTTTGAAAAGCTGCTAGGCCATCCCATCACTGTTGTGACTGGTTAACATTGCATCACTTTTTTCAGTAATACAGGGATCTGATCAAGTGACTTAGATAACATCTGTCATCTCATTGCACTACCTTTTTTTTTAACAGTGTTGTAATAAATACTGGTGGATCTTTGTGAGGGGAGTGTACCTCAGTGGTTCAGTGTACTGAGACAGAGGAAGGTAGTCCATGACAGAGATGTAAATGAATTTCTGGGCATCGCTGATGACAGACAAGATGGTGGAAAGGTCGTCAGAGCGGCCACGGGCTGAGATTTGTGGAGGGGCGCTCTGTAGGAAATGCATACAGAAAAAGTAATGAGGGTCATGGGAACAGGCGGGAAGAGGAGTCCTTTACAGCCCTCGTCTTATCAAAAATGTGGCAACTGTCCTCTGGTGGGCCTGCCTAGAAATCCTTAAAATGATAAGATACTAAGTTGATACACTGGGTGAACTTTTCAAAAAGCTGCAACAGAAGACAAGGAGGAAACCACCATTTTATGACATTTGGGAGGAAATTAATGCCTGGAATGGGATGTTTTAAGCCCCTGATATTTTCATTATCAGATATTATAATACATTATGAGACCTGAGGAAAACCTGATCATAAACTTCTTAACTCATCTGAAATCATTACATACAAAGGAAGTGGTGGTAACACCAACCAGTCTTTGAAAACATAAGTGTGGTACTGGACATTGAATGATCCCTATAGAACTGTGACAGACTTACAGAGAGGTAGACTTGAGCAGGTACTCCATTAAACTTCAGGTGTAGGGGATTCTGGGAACTGGACAGGGCAGAGAGCCGAGAAGGCCAGTATGGGGGCAGGGAACCGTTGTTCCCACCGCCGATGCTCCAGTACACACCAAAGATACGATAGGCGTCCTGAGCCAGACAGCTGCAGTCCTCCACTGACAGACCCACCTCCTTCACCTTGGTTTGAAAAAGACCACAGGATGTGTTGACTCTAAGTCGGTCGACCCCCCCCCACTCTGCTGCCTATAGTGCTTCTGTTATTAATCCAGCTTCTCTACCCTGTGCTGTCAAAATACAGCTCATAAATTAGCCTGCCTGCCGCCTAGTGGAGGTTGTGAAGGTTATAAGTGGTTTTTCGAACTACAAGTAGTTATTTCAAACAGCCGACCTTGGAGAAGCTTTCATCTGCTAAGGGCACAGACGCACCAAGCTGACATCACTAGCGGCAACGAAGCATAGCCTCATATCGCCTTCACCTGTACCAAAAAATTGGCATTTGAAGACACAGGACTGCAGATATACAAACTGTAAACAAAGCAGCTCTCGTGCACCACAAACAGCGTACGGCTACTTCTAAGAATATATCTGAAGAAGTTGCAAATGGCACTGGCGCTGTCAGCCCTCGGTCTTTTGGTTATGGAAGAAAAATATGGAGAAACTGCATTAAATGGTAGAAATCATGGTTACTACAGTGACAGGCTCGAGAGGCCTTTTCCAGACCGTTCTCTTTTCGTGCACTGATTCGCTAAGCACCATCAGGCTGAGTTTGGCTGCTTGGGACATCACTTCTACAAATAGTAAAAACAGTAATGTAGCTGTTTGTCCTAATGTGAAAAGTCATAGTGAGTGCACTCAGAAGCTGTGCAGTGAATAATGCAGGTTCAGTTGAAAATGCACAGTGTCCTCTGTGTTTTACCTGACTTAGAGAGCGCCAGTCCATGTTGGCGCTGCCCAAGTAGAAGTGCTTTTGATCCACCACCCACAGCTTAGTGTGGACGATGCCCCCAGTTACAGCATTGAGATCTATCTCTCGGACTTCTGCACCTGGAAAAACACATAATAAGGGATCAATTCAAACGGTCTCAACCTTTCACACACTGAAATCCCAGTTCAGCTTTATCGGGATACAGCAGTCACATTTTGTACTAGGTTTTAAATCCCAGAGAAATGCATCTATTCCTGACGTGTAGGCCAACGGGGTCTATCTGTGAGGATGTGCTTTAAAACTGTCAAACGATGCTGTACCCGTTGCAGCCAGTTCTTCTGTGTCTTGGCTTGAGGTCTGAGGGGCATTGACGGCAATCTGGAGATTCACGCCTTTGGATTCAAGCTGCTTCAGGTGCTCAAAGACCTTTCTTCCCTGCAAAACAAACACAGCAAAAGTTTAAGAAAGGGATTTGGTTCAGTCACCATCGTGCTACATTGCGAGACTGGGGCATGCCACTGAACAAACCTGAGAGTCAGTGGAGTCAGCGAGTTCCAAATCGCTGCCTCGTAGTGTGAAGTAGAAAGCGGCAATGTGGACGGAGCGATTGGCCTTGTCCAGCAGATGCAGCCAGCTGTCTGCGATGCTCGGTCTAGATGAGGGAGAGGACGGGTAGATATCCACAGGGATGCTCTCCACCAGGTGAACTCTGAACAAGGACAGGGGACTCAAGCAGTAGCAACAATTTGCACACCACATTCGACAGTTCAAGTTTCAAATTTGGTTTCTCTTATAGCGGCTTCCTGAAGGCAACAGACACACTACGTCTGGTGTATTCAACTTGAGTCAGCTGTGTGTCAGTAATGTTGATTAACTTCAGTCACAAAGCAGATGTACCTGTGTTTTGAAATATTCAAAGTAATGTCAAACTCAAAAAGTGGATATGGCTGGGAATGTCTGGCATATGGCTTTAAAGATCTGTGGCAATTTATTTATTTTGAATTATGCTTTCAGAACGTTTTATTAGTCTTGATAAGATGTATATCACATATACTTATTTTTGTTACAGCTGACCACTGCAAAGAACAAAACAGGTCAGAAAGACTGACACTTTATTGGCATTCCTTACCGACAATCGGTGCTGCAGGGCTCCTGTGCTAAGCCAAAGCCCTCCAACCAGTGCAGTTCCAGCTGAGCTGTGAGCTGAGCTACAGATGTGGGAAGCCCATAGTGCCAAACATGCTGAGTGAGCCCTCCTAGAAGCAGCAAGGTGGTGGGCAGCAAGCAGCAGAAGACAAAACTGGAGCATCCAGAGCTCTGCTGAATGACAGAAGAGGGACTTTTAATTTTTTGGATAAAATTCTGATCTTAACTTTAACAAAAGTAACAGCTTAGGACTGTGTTGCACACCAAAGCTGCAGGGTGTGGTGAAATTCTGACTTAGGTTAAAGCAGCAAGGAAAGAGTAAACTCAATGTCACCTTAGTTGACTTGGGCGATCTGGCTTTAGTAGTCTTCTCTGGTGCTGCAGGGGAGCTGGGTTCATCCATTCTCTCTGCAACATCTGAGATCTCTGACTTGCTTAAATGGGACTTATGATGATCCTCGACCTGCTCTGAATCATGACCCTCAGACATTTCACCTGCTGAATCCTCTTCACATTCATCATCTGATGACGATCTACTGTCTTTTAATTGAAGTGTGTTTGTTGGCTCCATCTGCCACGGTGGCTCTTCATCCATAATAGCATCTACTTGGGTGCGGGCGATCTCCTCAGACTTTTCAGTATCTCCAGGGGCTGCGAAGGAATGCTTGCTTATAATGTCGACCTCATCCTTTTCTGCTGTGTCTTCCAGGGGCTTCTGTCTGAGAGGTGCCTGATGTGGAAGGGTGCTTACAGGGGTGTCTGGTGTGGAAACAGCTTCTGTTTCTGAGGTTTTGCTCTTGTCTTGCTCTGGTAAATGCTGCTCTGTCCCTTGCTCTGGTCTGAGGGCCGGCCTGGGGCTTGCAGTCATAAGAGACTCAGGCAAACTTCGGCTTTTGGGTGCTGTAATTAGGGTGCTCTGAGGTTTCGTGGTATCATGTTCTATGCTGCTGAACGAAGAGGGGGCTTCAGAGCTGATCCTGGGGACTCGAATTGAAGGAAGGGTGAGCGCCGTTTCTCTGACATCAGCCGGTTTGGACTTCAAAGACTCTGCACTTCCACTACTAGCCTTCTCAAGAGGCTGAGCTACATGGACAGGAGTATCTTTTCTGGGGACAGGCAGCTCCGTGCTCTGGGTGGCACTGGCTGGTCGCTTATGGAAAGTAGGAATCCGGGATAAGGGTTTCCCACCTTTGCGATTCATGTCTTCTTTTTCCTCAAGCTCTTTATTTGCAGCCTTGTCATCAACTCTTAGATGGTCCAGTACAACACTACAATGCTTCAGTTCCTGAGGAAGACAGAAGACAGTTAGAAAAGACACACATCTTTTATGTGGATAAAAATGTCTGTGGCACCTCTCTCAGCAGTGACTCTGAATAGCTGCATGATAATAGTCTTAGATGCATGTAACAACTGAAATACGCTTAAACAATTCTAACCGTTAAATATCACCAGACATTATTCAACTCAATAACCTCTAGTGTTTTGCGCCTTGTCTTGAGACTTGTTAACGCCACCACTATAGCACTGCATATTACCTTGAGAGGCTGCCGTAGCACTGCTGGAACTACAATAGCTGCACCTATTCAGATGAGCTAGAGCCTACCTGGTTACCTCAGCATAGCCTCCTATTTAACACGTGGATACGGATGTCAATATTTGTTTATCAATTTGACACGAGTGTTCCCATGGCTATGGCGTCATTCAACTTTCATTCTAATGCCAGCTGTACATTCATTCAGTTATTAACATTCAATTGCGTTGTTAACTTTCAGAAATACACTGATTCCCATCGCAACCGCATTTCTGTTCCAACACAAGGACCCAGGATGTTTTTTTCCGCTGCTCTTTTCTAGGGGATGCTGAATTATTCTGACCACGAAATGCATTGTAATCTTGTCACCAATGTGTTTGTAGATAACAAAGACTAAGATGGAATTCCATCACCAAGTAGCATTTGGTGCTTGTTTAGTCACTTAACTATAGGCCTTTCTCCCAGAGGACATTTTGACATGTCATAGTAGGAAATGTTATGGCTCACTGGGACACTTGAGTAGAACAGAGTCATCATTAATGTTATTAGTAACGCCTGTACTTTCCTGCGACCTGTCGGTCACAATGTAATATCAGATGTAAAAAGGCCACTTAATCCCAACTGATATAGGATATCGGTACTGTATATCAGCCAGTAGCCTTGTTTTCCGAAACACACAACAAACATTTTTTATACTGATTCCTCAAATTTTATTTATAAGAACTATGCCCATCATATACACTTAACAGGACCTTTTGCAGGTGAAGCAGACGAATTAATGTGATGTAATGCGACTTGAACACTGTCTCTGTCTGATATGTCAGCTTTTATAATAATGAAGCACTTTCTGACATTTTCTCATGAATGTGATTATTTATAGATAAATGAATGATTTATTAACAGACTAATACTGTCAGATTCATCATTAAGAGGACAATGATTTGAGCAGATATGCAAAAAGGATTTCCATTATATGAATATGTAAAAGGATGTGCTGTATGTTTGACCCTGATTTTATGCCTAATATTGTTTTATCAGTTATGACATACAATACTGTGCAAACATCTTAAGCACTTTATATGTTTACATTCTTATCCATCACACAGTACCATCAAGGAACCATCTGATCAGTCCCCAATTCGTTCTGCAGCATGACAATAAAGATCTTCCACAACAAGAAGAACAAGGAGTCCTGCAACAGACGGCATGGCCCCCACAGAGCCCTGGGCCCCATTCTTTTTATGTGGATACCTGAACTATTCAGATTAATTTCTTTGATGTTTTCACATGAATCCATGATGTTTTAGTTCTTCAAAGCTGATTTAAAATTTATCTGGAGCTGTTGTCTGAGCAACACATCTTTAAGATCATCAGGATCACAGCCAAGACGTTATAGAGCGTCCATACATTGTCATTTTCAGACACAAATGGCTTGCTTTCTTAGTGATAGACTGAAATTACTGAAGATAAATACTGATATAATTTTAAAGAACTTTCAAGCTGTTGAAAATAATTTCTGTTGGTATAATTAACACACTTTATAAACTATTATAAAAAATATTATTATAAACATTTATTTTGACAGTACTGGTTGAGCTTTCCCGTTATAAGAACCTGATTAACTCCCATGCTTATTAGATTATGACACTTCCGCGGTAGACTTTCAATATTTCCGGGTGGTGATGATATGCTGCTCCACGCACGGCGCATTATTTCTCCTCTAAACACGGAGCTGCAATAGCCCCTGTGCCACACCCAGGCTTCATAGATTGCTTTGCTTTTTCCGCATATACAAAACAACGTCTAGCGGAAATCGGTGTGTTAGTCTAGGTTTGCAGCAAGGAGAATTAGATCTTACCGGTAGGTCTGCCTCGTCATCCAGCTCGGGCAGCGGCCTCTCATGTATCTCCATCACTTGGCTCAGGGTAGAGTCCGAGTCTGACTTATCCAACTCCTGTCACAAACCACACCGGTTATATTTAAAGTTAATAAGCACTAGTAGCACTAGATATGCATTCGCGTGAGACGTAACGTTATCTGCCGGCTGCATTAATTAAACCTATTGCAAAAGTAACTAAAACAAAAGATAACACAAAAGACAAGCGTGTTACAGTTTTATTGACAGAAACACCGTGGTCGTGAAAACAGACTTACCATTGTGCCGTAATAAGTTCTGGCTGGACGCAGGGGTTCACACTCACGGTGTAATTTTCCTTAACGCTAGCTTTTAATAATACCTAACGTTACACTAACCAGATAAGCAGCACTTACATAAGTTAACATTAAATGTTTGATAGTTTGAGGCAGGCCGGTGCTGGTATAGAGCCTCTTTTAGTATTTTTCTCGGGTTAGCCAGCTACTGTGGCTGCTGTTGACGTTAGCCAGGCAGCTACGTGGCCCGCTCAAGTTTTCAGTAGTGGAGGAAGAGGAGGCGGAAAAGTTGAGTATTAAAAATACCCACCTCGTACGTAACGTGAGTTTTCCTGCGGAGGCGGGTTGATTTTCTTCTTTGTCCTACGGGTGTTGTGTCGGGCATTGCCTGCCTGCGGTGAATGGATTTTCTGGATCGTAGTACCATCGCCATCTCGGACCGCTTTAATAATGCAGCACCGTCCTGACACGAGATTAACGGACGGATCGAGCGCGCAGAACAGTCACGTTTGTCTGCAGATGTAATGACACTCCACTATGGAAACCGAATATTGCGAGATGTGGTAAATAAAATCTGCATTGAACAACTGCTACAGTTATGAAAACACCATTCTGTGTGACCTATAATCAACATGAATAGATAATGTTATTTGAATGTGCCGTCTGTCTCAAAATAAGTAAACAACGAATTGAAGAAACCGCGATTTCCTTCAATCGCTGATTGGTGGTGGTTGGAATCAAATGTTGGCTCCGCCCATCAACTGCCGTACCAAACGAGGAGGAGAAGAAGAAGACGCTAAGCGGAAAGTGTAGTAACCCGTTTGGGAATAGGTCACACAAGTTTAAATTATACTCTGTACAAAATAGGTAAACACCCTACAGGTCTTTGTCCACATTATAGTCAGGTGGAGACTGTAGAGCATGTCTTGTTCATATGCAGTGCTTATAATGAGCAACGTGCTGGAGTGATAGCGTTAATGGAAAAAAAGATTATTAATACATCACTACAGAGTCTTTTGGGCAGCAACTGTAAGACAGCATATACAATTGTTATTACTTATTTGGTAGGTATTTTGGATAGGATTTAGTAGTTTATGCAGTTCTAAGAACCTTTTTTCTAATTCCTTCGGCTCTATTATTGTTCCACACCCCAGTGCCAGCAGGTGGCAGTAATGCGCCTTAAATTGGCTTGCAAACCGCCAATAAACATAGGAAGAAGACGCTAAGGAGAAGAACACAATACGGAAACAAGGAATCATCATCATCATCATCATCGTCAACTTCAACTTCAAACTAAGGTGTGTTGTTATCATTAAATTATAACTAACAACTTTTAGACCTGTTGTTATTTTGAATAAGCAATGCATAAATGAGCGACTGTACGAAATAGTTGATAGTCACGTTAGTTAACTAGGTTAACGTTATTTGAACGACGAGTAGCCCTGAATGCATCACGGTAGGTTGTTTGTGTTTCTAAGACCAAAGCAGTGACATGAGTTTCAAAGGTTACTGAGCTATAGCGTTACAGTACCAGGGGTCCCGAACACCAGTACAGTATAATAATATCAAAGTCTACCGAATAGCGTTATAGTACTGAATTAGAATTTTGAAATATTTACTTTTTGTCGAAAATCTGAATGTGTGTGCTGTTGTACTGAATAGTTATATTAAAGTCATCCACCCCTGTAAGTGGTGTGAACTGTTGTATTGTCAGAATAATGGTCGACTTGGTAATGTGATATCGTAGTCACAGTGTCATTTATGGTAAACAAGTTGTATATCTGTCTCCCAGTGTGTGTTATGAAATACTCAGAGGTAGAAACTAACTACATTTACTCAAGTACTGTACTTAAGTAAAATTTTGAGGTATCTGTACTTTACTCAGGTATTTTAATTTTCTGCTACTTCAAACTTTGACTTCACTACATTTGGAGGCAAAAACTGAACTTTTTATTCTGTTATTACATTTATTGGAAAACTTTAGCTAATAGTTACTTTCAGAATCAGATTAACTATACAAAATACAGTATAATAATAAGAGTTTATTGATCCCTAGGGGAAAATTAACAAACCACCCAGCAGTAATTCAAATGATGAGTACATAAGGTAGTTTAATTAGCTCCACCTTTACCACCTGTACCAGAGTACTTGTACACTGTGGCATTGCCGTTTTTACTTGAGTAAACAATCACAGTATTTCTTCCACCACTGGAAATACCCAAGAATTCACCAGGAAATAAAATCATTCCACTTTCATGTCGAAGAAAAACTTCAAATCCAATAGTGGAAAAAGAGTACATTTTGTTTTCCACTTGAAACAACACACAGTTCTTTAATTTTGTCAGTTGGCTAATCACTAACAAGACTAATAACAGCAGCTCAGTTTTAATTTTTAATTATTCTAATTACTTTTTTCATAAGAAGACATGTTGGTTTACAACAATCACATGTAGCACAAGCGGCATGAGAGTCTGCAAATTCAGCTGAAACGAATAGAAATGTCATTGCTAAATCAGTAAATTAAATACCCAAACAAAAGAAGGTATATTAGCTCATTGTCATTCATTGATCATTTGAGCTTATTAAAGTTTCCACAGTATCATTCTTTCCTCTTTGCAGCCCAACCTGTGTTTACCTCTGTGACTGTGTTTCATGTTTTCAGGTCTCCCATGTAAAGCCCCCTCAGGCTGACAGGAGCAGCTCTGTGATGATGGACAGTTAGTCATACCGCAATGGAAACTCCAGTCGCAGCTTCCACTCCTTCCAACTCCTCCACTCCTCCTCCCCTAGCTCCCCTCCGTCCGGCTGTGGCCCCGTCGGTGCAGCTTGGCTTCACCATCCTCTACACCGCTCTGTACGCTGGACTCTTCCTGGTGGTGTACGTCCAGCTCTGGCTTCTCTTCCTTTACAGACACAAAAGATGGAGCTATCAGAGTGTATTTCTGTTCCTCTGCCTGCTCTGGGCTGCCCTGCGCACCACCCTGTTCTCCTTTTACTTCTGCGATGCCCTGCAAGCCAACCACCTACCTGTTGCACTCTACTGGCTGCTCTACTGCTTCCCTGTGTGTCTGCAGTTCTTCACGCTCAGCCTTATTAACCTGTATTTTACTCAGGTAAGACTACTGTATTTCTTAAATATACAATACATCTGTTGTCATGTTGATGGGACATATTGATTGAATGATTGTAAAAAGACTTGGTCTGTCATGACTGTAATGATAAAAGGACTTCATGTCAGTTACTTGAGTATCAAGGTGTTTACATAATCTTTGAGCAGGGGAATTCCTTTCGAACTGTTAAATTAAACCTTGTGACTTTAGACTGAAAACAAATGGCACATGTAGCATTTCTTTTGCTTTCAGTTTCATTCCCAGGGTCTAATGTTCCTGTGTACTATGTTGCTTACTTATCTCTTGCACCACAGGTGTTACTCAAAGTGAGGGAGACTTACAGCTCAGAAGGGGACAGAAGACTGTAAGTTGCACTCTGCTGTAAACATGTAGAACAGGACCCTGCTTGTGTGGAGAATAATACTGAATCAGGCTTTTGTTCTGAGCCCTGACTCTCACCAAGAAACACCTGTGAGTTCATTTGTCACTCTGGCTTCCATGTCCTTCCCAGGTGGCTGTGCCGGTGTGTATATGGTGCACTGAGTGCCTTCTTCCTCACTATCAACATCATGTGCGCGGCTCTTGGGGACCGGGGCCGCAGTGGGTCAGGGAAGTGGACCTGGAATCTGGTCCTGGTTCGAGTGCTATGCAATGACATACTGTTCATCTTTGATGCAGTGTTACTGGCTGCTTCATTGTTGCTCCTGACCCGCTATTCGCACTCCACTAGCCCCTACCTGATCAGCAAGGTGCGTTGAGCTTCAGTCCCTGGTCTGTTGGAATATGAAAATGCAGTAATAAGCATAAGTTAAAGAAGCAGCCCTCTGATTTTTATGCAACAAAATTTGTTTACTTCTCATGTCTACTATGGCTCTGGAGGAGCTTTGTCAAATCTGAGAAAATGACCTAGATGACATCGCTATGACATCATCAGGGTTATCTTAACTTGTACTTGGAGACTATACATTTATAACAGAACTGCCTTAGGGAAACTCAAAGTGTGTTTATCAGACAGGGATGATCTAATGCGAGATAGTGCAGGGTTAATTCATGGAAGCTGTAGGATCAACCCTTTTGCTTATACTAGGGCCTAAAATTCCTATTAGTGCATAGAAAGGTCGCGAACCCACAACCTTCTCGCTGTGAGGCAACAGCGCTAACTACCATGCCACCATGTTACCCACATCTGTTTTGACCAGTCTTTTATAAATATGAGTCTTGTGAGCCCCCAACTTTAGAGTGCCTTTAAACATAACCCACTTCTTACCCTCCTGTGATATTCTGATGGTGCTCCAGACTAACTGTGCCTCTCCTACCTGACCAGGGGACCACAGTGTGCCGCACAGCAGCACTGGCAACAGCAGTGATCTTGTTGTTTGCCAGCCGAGCCTGTTACAACCTTACAGTCCTCTTTCTGTCCCAGAGCCACCAGGTGGAGTCGTTCAACTTCGATTGGTACAACGTGTCCGACCAGGTAATCATCTATGGTTCAGGTTCACACACACTTTGATTAGCCAGTGTAAATCAGTGTTCAGCCCAGGTCAGGCAGTAATGCTTGTCTGTATTTTCATATCTCAGAACAGCCACTAAAAAAAGAACCAGTACACCACTAGATAACAAGGGGTGTGTTTGTTTTTAGGCTGACCTGCGTAATGAACTGGGTGATAGGGGCTACCTGGTCTTTGGTGCCATCCTCTTCATATGGGAGCTGCTTCCAACCAGCCTGCTCATCCTCATTTTCAGGGTTCGTCGGCCTACTCAGGAGGTAGTTGGTGCATCTAATAGAAAATGTAATGTACATGTCAACTAAACAAAGATATTTAAAAATGAAAGATGACAGAGGACACTGTCTTTTTTTTAAATTTGATTTTCACAGACCAGCAGCAGCCGGGTCCTACCTCGTCCATATTTCTTTGACGACCCTCAAGTCAACGATGAGGACGCACCTGTTCCATGGATACGCAGTTCTCATCCTCAGTCAAGGTACTGCCAGTACAAACACATCAGACTCGCAGGTAGAGCTGAAATGATCAACTATGTTTGATTAACTGGCTTCTAAAAATGCCAAACATTCATAGTTCCAGCTTCTGCAGTGTAATCAATTAAGTAATGATTTGGTCATTATATCATAGAACTGAAGCCGGCATGTTTGAATCACGTTTTGTCTGATCAAAAGTCAAAAAGCCAATGGTTTTCAGTTTACTATGGTAGAAAACCACATTACAAACAATGGATCCTGTGACTTTTTGCTTTAGGAAAGGGTATCAGAACTGTTGCAGATTATTACTCTTCTGTTACGTAACTGATCAGTTGTTTCAGCTCTAATTTTGATGTATTTGGAAAATGAATATGTTTAGTTATGTGGGACAAAGCAAGATATTTGAAGATCTCACCCAAAGATCAATTTTCTGACATTTTAAAGAATGATTGAGTAATCAATTAAATGAGAAAATAAATAAAATTGCCCTGCAGGAGAAGCCATGCAGGTTTTGAAATACGAGTCATAATTTTCAGGCCTTAATAAGTAATGGGCAAATTAATAAAGGTATGGACATTCAATCTCAGACACTAGAAGTGTTTATTGGTGTACCACTTTCTAGTAATCAGAATCAGAAATCTGCTTTATTGGCCAGGTGTGTCGGACACATGAGGAATTTGACTCTGGTACATCGGTTCTCAATGTGCATGTACATATCCCCATGCATGGGGCAAGTAAACAGTAAACCAGCATAAGGCTGTGTAGTATAACAAAATAAGCAACTGAAATTGACCTTACCAGATTCCTCAAACGCAGCAGGCACAGCTGTAATCTTTTGCTCTTCTTCCTCTTGCTATTTCAGCTGGTATGGAGCAGAGAGCGCTCCTCTCCTGTTTGCCAGCAACCCTCTAGACCAGAACCTCCAGCACCACTCATTCTACTCCACTCCCCGGAACTGATCCTGACTCCTGACCATGATCAGGGTTTTGGTATTTTTCATCACAAGAATAAAATACACACAGCTACCAGCCAGTTGGACCTCCCTGTGTGAGCAGCTTTTGCACAGAATTCTCAGGAAATCATCACCAGAGAGTGACTATGCACCTTGTAGTTTCTGAACAGAGAATATAATTAAACTTTTTTAGCTCAAATGGAACAAAAATGTTGGGAATCGCTCCTTATTAAGATCAATCTGAGACGAGGTCAGCTAGTGTTTACAATTCCCAAAAATGGCACATTTATCTTTGTTAACATTCCTTAATAAAGAATACATGTAATGTAGCGTAGTTCCTACTGTAAGTGGCAGCATTGGTACCAGGCAGTGACGAGAGTAATTTGCAGTGTTTTGATATTCAAACTAAGTATTCTCTTACATTGTTATCCATGTATAGGAAACAGGCTGAAAATACAAATGACCAGTTGTTTGCTTTGGCATTTTTTGTTTCGTTTCTTTAACTTCAGTAGTCTCTTGACACCTTTATAAATAATTACAACTCCAATCTAGATCTAGATCCATACTTTGCTGCAGATGCTTTTGTGTTTTCATTTGCATTCTCTTTAAGGTCAGCTGTATTGTGTTTGTTTATATGTGGCATTTGTTGATTTTGGTTCTTATTCTCTTACTGCATTACTATATTTTCATAGAAGTTTAATTTATTTTTTTAACTACAGTTCTAACTTTAATTGCAGCTAATAATCAAATGTTTTTCTTATTTATGGCTTTATTGGAAAGAGGCTTAGTGTGTCACTCACCTGTGGCTTCCCCTTTGCCACATGGCTGACATGCACTATGTAAACGACTAATAAAAACTGAAGGAATCTATTCAGACTGTTGCCAAGCAGAAAATCTCTCTTGGACATGTGCAGCATCAACATCAGTGGGGGAGGCGACAGTGCGGTGGGTAGAGCAGTCGTCTCCCTCCCAGAAGGTTTGAATCTCTGTGCTTGCCGTCCACATGTCAAAGTGTCCTTGGGCAAAACACTGAATCCCCCCCATTGTCCCCGTTGGTTAGAGCCATGAGTTGAGTTGGCACTGCAGATGGCTGCCTCGGTTCTGTACCGGAAACAAATTCCTTGTGTGTAACATACTTGGCCAATAAAGGTGATTATCCTTATCCTATTATCCTTTACATGTTTTAGCCCATTTACCACAAAACATACAGTATATACCAACAAGGCATGTGTGTTAGCTCTTTAAATGTTCCTCCCATCTCCCATTCAGCCAGTTTCCATTAATATCTGATTTTCTTTTTCCTCTCACTGCATCATTGGTTAGGCTTTATGCTATGACTGTGATTTCCATATTATTTCTTTGGAAGCTTCTGGGAAACAATGTAATTTGGTTCTAATCTGGTGAACACAGCTCAGTCAAACAAACTGAAAACTGTGTTGACAGTAATAGATTAATACTGAATGTGTATAAGTATCAACACACATCTATCCAGGAATGAAAAATGTTTGTTGTGAAATCAATTATAGTTAATATAACATGGGAAAAACTCTTTAATATGAACCTTTACCTGGTTGGAACCAGGGTTGATCGAGGCAATTAAATTCATCTGAGAACTTGGAGGACTTGTTCATGTTGGTTTAACAAGAGGGATCAGATACAATATTGACAAACTCTCAAAGCCAAAGCTCCAGGACGGCTACTAAATGGACCTTGTGATGAGTTTGTCCTGTTTGATTAATACACTCATCTCAACAGAACAAGATTTTATACTCTACAATTTAGCCTGTTTTCATTTGTTGACACTTTGAAACAGGTGTTGTATTTCTAAGGTGTAAGAGTTAACTGCTCCCTCATACATATTAACTGGGTGATCAAAAGAAAGTAAAAACAGAGAGAATGCCACAAAGCACAGCTTATAATTTTCAGTACAGTGGTATTGACCAACTGGGAGTGTTTGTGTTTTGGATCTGAGCTTTCACCAACAGGTGTAGTTGCACCATTTCAGTCAAACACTTTATTCTGCATTATGTACAGATCATCCTATTAAAACTCTTTATACAGTATGTACATATTCAAATAAATCATTATGTTACAGCATCTACACTAGCAGCAGGTGGAGAAACCAGGCAACAGAAGAGTGATGTGTGTTAAAGGACACAAAGCTAAAGAAGTCGATTAGTTTCCCTTAATTTGAATCCGCTGGTTCAGACTCTGACCTGGCTGCTGGGTAACATGTTGATGTGGTGAATGGAACCATCTTCATACTGCAGAAAGTGGAATCAGAAAAAAAAAAAAAAACAAAAACATCACTGACAGTAAAAGTAGCACAAGTCCAAGCACAGTCGCTTTACATCTCTGACGACAAATCTGAGCTTGAAATGAGAATTCAGCTTCCATCTGATTAAACTCAGAAACACCTGCAGTGCTCTTACTGCAGTATTGAGTCTGTGTGGGAAAAGGTGATGAAAAAAACATGTCATGCTATTGCTTTCTAACAGATACAATCCAGATAAGCAGATCACTGTATCTCCCCGCAGCCTGAGTCCAACTCCACTCAGTTAGGAACCTGAGCTGTTGGAAGGCGAGAGGCAATGAAGAACAAAAGTGACCATATGTCACTAGAGTATCCCTGTCCAGAGTTCCTGCTGGCCCAGAGTGATACATCTGAGTCAGGATACATGGATCAGTTGTCTGGAGGGGGTGATGATGACGCTGATGATGTTGCCGTTTCCAGCTTGCGGAGGCGGCGGCGCCTCAGTTCAGCAGCATTCGGCTCTCCGTCATCGTCCTCCAACACACCTTCATTCATCTTTTCTTTTCTTTCTGTGTCTGAGGCAGAAGTAGTGGAGTCCGCTGGCTGAGAGGAGACTGTGGCTGCGCTCACTTGATCACCTGCAAACAGAAAAAAACAGGAAGTCAGAGTCCGGGGTTCTTGATTTAATTGCCTTGGTTGGCTTCATAGTGTCCACCCTAGGTGAGCCGTCAGCTTCCTTACAGCTGGATGAGTCCCTCTCCTGGTTGGGACTCTCTGTGCTACTGCCAGGAGCCACTGATGATGCAGTGTGGTTTGTGCCACTGGCTTCTCCAGCGCTGCCCTGAGTCCGAGGAGGACTGTGGAGGAAACAGCAGCAGAAGCAGAATGAAGCATTCATCTGAAAATGGCATTTTCTGGAGAAACTCAGTGGTTACGAATTCATTTGCTGTGTATGCTTAAGACTGAATCATACAGATAATGTGGCCGTCTGCATTTTATTACTTGAGTTTTCACAGAAAGTAAATATTAAGTTCAACAACAGCTTGACACATTCAATTAACTTTTAGAAGAGGCAACACATTTATGAGATAAGTAATCCAAAAAATACAGAACTAGCTGAATTATTCAGACTTTTATTTGACACAAGAAAGACTGTGAGGTTTAGTTACGCGAGTGTGGCGATGGTGCTAAGGTAGTGGTGAATGTTGAGCATGGCAGCATCGAGCAAGGTGTGGATGTTTTGGAGACACTGGAGCCTGGCCTCAAGGCCCCGCCGGCCATCGGCCTCCAGGTCCCTGAGCTCCTCCTCAGACAGCCGGGACAGAGAGGGAGGAGGAGGCGGCATCGACGACACTGGACAAGAGAAGATAAAATGAACTTGACCATAACACCACCGACATGCTGACTAAGACCGAGACTCAACATTACAAACTGTTTCAAGTGACCTCAAGAGTTAAGTCATTTTTCCACAAATGATTGAATGGCACTCTTGACAGCTGAACAGAAATGATCCACTGTGAGAGATCAAGTGTTGCACATCTAGTGGGAGATACCAGTGACTGTCACACAGTGTGACCAGTCATGTTCAGCGCTTCGTCAAACAAAGTCTGACAGAACAAGTAAGGCAACATTATTATGACTCATCCACGAGCGGCTAAGTCTGCACATTTTTTAATATTTCTATTTTTGCAGCAAAGTGACATAACAACCATCTCGTTAGAGCGAGAAAGGTGGACGAGGTTAACTGAGTGATCACTGCATTTTATCATCACTTGTAGAGAGTGTCAATAAGTGACAGGGAAATTCAGCTTCAGAGTGCATGCCAATCACAAGCACTTGGTAACAATGCAGAGCTTATGAAAAAAAGATCAGTGCTTACCAAAGGGAGGAGGTGGTGGCATGGCCAGCCATGGTGCAGTGGGGAAGGGAGGAGGTGGGAAGGGGAAGCCTGGGATCGCTGGTCCTGGAGCAGCAGCTGCTGTAGTGCCATTGGCAGTAGACGTGGTGGGTTGGCTAGTACCTGATAAAAACACACAACACTGATGACCTGGGACAATACTAAGCCCTCACACAGTAATTACAAAAATGGTTTGAGATGCAAAATAGCATGTCAATAAATCTGCATTAACACTAGAGTCCCACAGTGCTGTAGTCCTGATTTGTGGTGTTCAACCTGAAGTCAAAACAGGATGCTGCCATTACATCCTTAACCTGAGTCAAGGGAATGACAGTCACACGAACACCCACACTGAGCTGCTGATGCTGTCACAACCATTCTAAGTCAGTGGATGGAAGCTTAGGACAGCCGTTCTATTTTGCATTCATAGAATCGTAATGATCTTTGTTGGTAAGAACTGATGAGATAGTATGGTCTCCTTACCAGCTGTCTGTGTGGCCTCTGTGCTGCTTTGTGGAGCATCTGCAGCAGCAGGAGCTGCAGCTGCTGCGGCAGCTGGTGGAGGCACTGCAGGGAAAGGACCCCAGAAGGGGAAGATGCCAGGGGGAAAGGCTGGTAGCACTGGAGAGGAACCAGAAGACACACTGATCGTTAAAATGGTCCACATATGTATTGACACTTTCTACACAGAAAACCTAAATGTCCCCACAGTACTATTCTCAGGTCCTGAAATGTTGTTCTGCTCTGGCACCCACATGACAGACGTTCTGTGCCACTAGTAACATGGGTGTGGATAGGCTTCACACAGTGCTGACAGCAGCAGGAACATGGAGGCTGTATTCATTTGTACCGGTTTTGACTCACCATTAGCAGGTGGGGCTGGGGCAGCGTTGGCAGGGGCTGCAGGTGCAGGGGGTGGGACCTGGGCTGGAGCTGGAGTCTGATTGTTATTAGATGCTCGGAGGACATCCATGCGACATGTAGGACAGGTCTGCTGTCTCTGGAACCAGGACCGCAGGCAGCTGTGTGGAGAAAAATAAGGTAACACAACAGAGAGCAAACCTTTACACACACTGCAATACCAAAGGCTTTTGTTTTAAGTCATAATTAATTTGCAACGCAGGCTTGTTTCCTGTTCAAAAACAGTAAGTGTGTTTAACATGAGTTACTGTACATGCTGACCACACTGTCAAACTGTAGACCACAGGACATACCTGGAGTGGAAAATGTGATTACAAGGTAGTTTCTTGGCTCCAGTGACCATTTCCTCCCGGCAGATGATGCAGACGTTGTCAGAAGCCTGCAGGTCTTCAGGAGTAGCGTCAGGATAGCTGAGGGAAAATTTATTATGCATTACATGTATTGTCTTCTTGCAAATATCCTTAACTAAAGATAACATTATTCCTACTGTGAAGGTTCAGCTTACAGACAAGAAAAATATGCACACCTAAAATGCTGTATACTGATGCATAGTCAGAAAAATGATATGGGTTTAAAAATAAAAAACTGTTGATTTGTGTCTTTGGTAAAGATCAAATCACATTTTATGACCAATTTATGCAGAAAACCAGGAAATTACACCTGTGCCATTACTTTTTCTTACAACTGCAAGTTAATACGGAACACACACTGAGAAATAACGATGACCTATATTACATGACTCACAGCGTATTCATGTTGCGGATGGCCCTGCGAGACATTATAGCATCTGTTACAGCTTTCTTGAACTGCCTGGAGGGGAGACCAAACAATGCAAAACTTAAAATGTCAAAAATATTACGTGATTTAAAATGATATTCCATGTTTTCCAAAAGCGTATTCAGTACTAAAATCTAGCTTCTGGCCATCCCACAAGCACAGAATCACAGAGGTGCTCACCTCATGGCCAGGTACATGGGCCGGATGGCAAACAACGGGAAGGTGTGGACCTTTATCATGATGGTCATAAACGCAATGTACAAGAGCACTTTGATGAAACCTGAAATTTAAACAGTGTTTTAATATGGCTGCAACCATTTGGTCTTTTACTGCAAAGCAAAACAGTATAGAGAATAAAGTAAATTCCAGCATCACAGTATTGAACAGAACCTGTGAAGAGCTCAGTGTAGAGCATATACACCGCCTTATTGTCCCAGGGATTCTCACTCTGCAGGTCAATAGTATGCAGAACATATTTGATGAAGGTTGTCAGCACCATGGTCAGCAGGATGGCATACTGAGGAGCACACAGAGAGGAAACCTTATTTAAAAGAGACTTTCACCTCTCTATACTCACCGGCCACTTTATTAGGGACACCTAATGGCTCACAATTCAGTGCAACCCATCTTAACATCTGTGTTTATGAAGCTCAAAATTTTGTTTTTGGTGAAATTGTCATAAATGTATACATTCAATTATATGCTTATCATTGAGGTCATAGTTAAAGGTGGTGTTGTACTGGACTACATTATATTTAGAGGTGTCTCTATAGTTTTGTCCTCCCCAGCTAACACCTCATTATTTTTAAACCTGAAAGTCACCTTGACTTTTCAAAATGTATACATTTGCATGAATTTGATTAATTACAAACAATAATCAATATATGAAATTGATTTGTTCAATGAAAGTACATTATTGGATGTGTGGTCACAGTCCACTTGCAAAGTCTGGGGGCCATGGACCACTGGTTGAAAACCCCTGATCTAGGGGACCCTGACAATGATACTCAACGAGAAAGACAATTTAATTTGTTCATTGTTCAATCAGTTTACCATTCCTGTGACATAGATCAACCGAGTAACTAAATGTGAGCTTCAGCAAAGGTGGAGGGGAACTCTCAACAAAAACGAGAGATAAAAGAAAAGAAAGGATTAAATTTGAGTTAAATATTTACTCAAATTTAATTGGTCTATGTGGACAAACCTCAAATCCAAAAACAAGCTGGACTGAGGCTCCTCTGGTAATGATGCTGTGACAGGCATGGTTGACAAATAGGAAGTCCAGGACAGCCAGCAGTCCCATGAGAGCTGCAGGAAATAAAGCACATAAAAAACCACTTCTAAGTGAGGATGCACTACCTGCATTACATGCAGAGGCTCCATAGAAATGCAGAAAAAGTACATGATTCTGCACAAAATATTTATCTGTCCTAATTTAAATTCACGGAGCTGTACGTCATAAAGGACCTCTTAGACTGGTTGGTGTTTGCGGCTGAAGAATGGATTTTACAGCAACATTTAGAAAATCGTTTGTTCATGTCATTGTGACGTTCTGCTATGGAGCCCTGTTAAACAGCGCTGCACCTGGCCTCCTGTGCAACCAAATGATTTGCATCCAGTTTCATTTAGCTAAAAAACTTGTTTCAAAAGTATAATAAATGGAAATGAAAGAGAGAAGTAAAGATTAAACGTAAAAAATGCCAGTACAGAAGGGCTGAAGGAATCATATCAGAAGGGCCAGACACCATGTACTTACATAATACTCTCATGTGAAAAACCCAGGATATGTTTGGACTCCGTTCCATCTGGCAAAGAAAAAGTTGTAAAAGCACAGAATTAAACATTATATACATGTCAGCAGCCAAGGAAAATGTTTCACTTACTCAAACAGTCTTACTTGATACCTCTGATTCACAGCACAGTAACGGCTCTTTATACTACAACTAACTGAATTATCAGCTACAAAATGTGAAACAATGGTTATTCAGCTCTCATACGCAGTTTTAGCCACAAGTCATCTGTCTCATGTTTCCTTTCTACCTTCCAACAATGTATTGTGTACAGCAGATTAATGTTTAAGATGAAGTTGATTCTCTGTTATCACTCACAAAGTCCACCCTGTCCTCAGCCAGCCAGTGGAAGCACTTAAGGAAGAGCAGGAGGGTGAAGAGGGCGACAAAGCGAGGGGAGAAATCATCCCTGAACACAGTGAATGCCAGGCACGTCTCGGTCACCGCGTACCAGGAGCGCTCGATGAGGTGCTGATGGAAGAGAGGGATGACAGTCACTGCACATAAAATAACAGACTGACTGACTTCACTGTTGTCATTTACAACAGAGGCCAAGTATTAAATACTAAAGTGAATGTGTGTGAGGTCAGTAATAAACATAAGCAAAACTCTACCTCCAACTCTGCAGCCCTTAGCTGCCCAAAAAAGACCTTCCTCATGAACTTTCCCAGCAGAAACACCAGAACAAAGGCCTGGATGTACAATACCTGGTTCCAGAAACAGAACAGAAATGAAAAGATGATTTGTCACAATGTCACTGATACTGCCGCTGAAGAAACATGATCTAATTTAAAGATATTAATATGGGTAAAAACATTCAAATAATAATGGATGCACTGCTCTTACCGCCATGCTGGGGCTGCTCTTGGTGAGGTAGACCACAGTTGGGTAGAACTGGTGTTTGAGGAAGTAGGCGTGTGCCACCACAGCCCCAGTCAGCGTCAGACTGGTGGCAGTCACCAAGGCTGTTCGCACCATTTTGGACTCAGCTACAGATACAGTGGAAAAGAAAACAGATGAAGGGATTAAAAAAAAAAGAAGACAGCTGTTGGATGAGAATGCTGACTGATACAGCGCAGCAACGTGCAAATAAATGGCAGCTCTTTCCAGGAAAGAAATTATTTGGCGACTTATCTTCACTATGTTCAAGTTTACATTTATATGGTCACAAAGGTTTGAAAATCTGTCAGTCATCATGCAATAACAGCTTTGCAAACACTGTGGTCATTAATAAACAGCTTTTTGAAAAACAATTCCACAGCATCATGTGCATGCTCTTTCTCAATTAATAAATGGTATCCTACACCCCATCAAGTGTAACCCTTTTGGAGGTTAAAACATATTTCTGGGGTTTACAGAGTATTAGAATGCACCCACACTGATCTGTGTCTGTTCTGCTGTTTGCATAGTGTCTGCTTGCTATAATAGGGCTGAAAAAGCCCTTCTCTCCTTCAGATCTTGTCAGAAAGTGCAGAGAGGTGACACACACAAAATACGTTAGGGTTTTCATGTGTTTAGAATCCAACCGCAGTCAGCTAAAGGTTCTTATATTTTCCATTTATGTCACTACTTTCTGAAAAGTAGGTTATAAAATAACTAAGTGAAAGGCATTCAAACTATCAAGGTCAGTTTTGACACATTATTTGGGCCATTTCCATAAAATCTGTTATATACAAGTATCAGATATTCCCTTACATAAATACAAATGATCAGTACTTCATTTTGAAGCCAAGAATTTCTGTACCAACAACTGGTTATTTTGTGATCTTAAACTATATAAATGAAATGGTTCAGATAGATTGATAGATAGATGATAATGCATCAAGGGGAGGACAACAGATATCTTCATATCTTTGTTAATCAGAAAATGTTTCAAGCACTACTAGCTGAATCTTGATAAATGTGCATCTCACCAGTATAAGTTGGTATTTTCAAGAATGACACTGTTTGGCCCCTGGCCAATGCATTGCTTCCAAGTATGTTAGTATCACATATACTGCAAATTTAACTAAACATGTGGAAACCTCACTAATACAAAGCAGTATTTTTCAAGACAAATGACAGGCCCCAGTGGGAGCAATGCAATTCAGAACAAGGTGATGTGTTCGGTGCTAAATGGGAAGTACCTGAAGAACCTGTCTTTCAAACCACATACTGAAAGCCTTGCCACTAAGCCCAAGTTTTTCTTTGGGAACAAATTCTGTTTCTTTTTCCACTTGATTTTGAAAACTTTACCCTTTTTTGATTGCAGCAATTTGCTTTTTACAAATGCACCAGACAAATACCTAAAGAAGCTGGATACTGTATACAGTTGTGTGTGCTTCTGTTAAATGGCCATCTCTGTATGTCCGCCGACGTTCGCAGTGGTTGATTTTTATATATAAAGCTCTCCTTGGGCTGGCTTCCTCTTATTTATGTACATACATATGTAAATACCTAAATCAAAATGGCCTACTCTCACCCAGTATTTTACAAATGTTGGTCCCCAGAGTCACAACAGTTAGGCAAAAAAAAGTTTTTAAATACACTGCTCCTTCTTCCTGAAATAATGTACAGAAAAACCTGAAACTATCAGAATTGAGTGTTCCAGGGTAATTTAAGTCAATTTTAAAAAAAATGCAAAAACAGACTTTTGGCCAAAGTGGCTGTTAATCTCTTTTAAAGTTGTACTTGCTTATGCATCTAACTTTAATTACATAACAACTGGATGTTGTGTTTATAGCATCAGTTATACTTATTTGTATTGTTTGTGTCTACTACCATTACAGTGCCTTTGCTGCGCTCTTTGCCAGGTTACTCTTGAAAAAGAAATGCTAATCCTAATGAGCCTTCAGCTAATAAAATAAAGGACAGTGACCCACCACAGAACATAAAAAAGACTACCTCTGCTGTTTTGCACAAACCCAGTACATTCCCCCTGTGCTGTTTAGTTTTATCCGAATCACTTTGATTTAGTTTTCTTATTCTTTTTTTACTCTACTATTTTGGTTTCCTAAATGGTATGGCATTCAATACTAGGTGAGAGAGAGAAACGGTATTTCGATTTTCTGTATGTCTTGCACATATAGTGAATTGACAATAAAAATCTTTGATCTTGACAGATAAGTGGTTTTTGTGGGAATTTGCATCTTTATTTTGGTCTTGACTTTTAAAGTAGTATAGTACAAGAAGTGCAAGGATGTCTTCAAACATTTTACATTAACCACACTGTTCAATTATTAAAATGTACTGCGAGATGCTAAGCAGTAAAGTTGTCTAGCTGTATACACTTCCACTACTGCAGCTATCGCCTCACTCTCTTATGCTATATTTCTAATAATGAAAGTGATATAATAAATTTGCCACTCTTATGCCCGTGCATAATAAAGTAAACACCAAAATAATTTTTCTTGGTGAAGATGTAGTTCTTTTAGCTAACTTAGTAGGCTAACACCAAAGCTAATATGGTAAAAATTAAGTATAATAAATCCGACAAACCTTGTGACAGCTTTCCTATGAAGAAAGAAACTTTAGTTAGCAAATGTTACATAGCTATATAGCTCTGAAAACTGCCTTAATAACTATTTGCTGTATTAGTAAGGTTATTATTTTACTTCAGAGGGCAACTAGCTAACTATAAATTTTTTTTGATTAGTTAGCTAGTGTTAGCTAATGTTAGCTAGCTAGCTGGTAACATACAACTGTCAGTACTCTGCGGTACTTACCGACTCGTTGTCTGCGGAAGAATTGCTCCTTGGTTAATATAACGGATGATTCCTTGCCTGCTAGAATGTTACTGTTCTTAACTACTCCATTTCTTCGTTTAAACAGCAGCCTCTCTGTAACGTATATTATCCTTACCCCCACTCCTCAGGCTACGTGTTTATCTTTGGCTTGCTCCTAGGAGCCACCTCACATCCGGCTGTTAAGGTAATATGGTGCAGGAGCAATTTCGCCCACCACTGACTGGTTACCAGTGTTCTATGTTAGATTATGTAAAAATAATTAAAAAAAATACTTTAGATGAGTATAATATTTGCGTTTAGTAGTTACTTTTGAGTGGCATTTGTAAATGCAATTTGTTGCATTGTATTTGTAAATGTTCAGTGACCCACCTTTTATGAGATTTACGGTAGACAACTACGTGGACCAATTAGAAATTGCCTGGCCGCTTACATCGTGTCACAGACAGAACATGCTTCCAGTAGAAACTGGGATATTAAAAATATTGTTCTTTCACCAAAACGCTCCAATACAGATAAATGTATATAGGAAACAGTGATGTTGATAGCAGTTGGTGTTAATTTATAACTAAAGACGTGGTCCTTCACCCTGAAATCGTTTATCATCACTAATAGTGCAAATGGACGGCCGGTGCATTTATTAAACCAGTAGGAAGAATAAATCTATCACAATTAATCCAAGATGCAAGTGTGGCTTTCTGAAATATTCTACATCTCATATTTCAAACAATTTAACTTAGCCACTAAAAATGTTTGACCAACCCAACTCAAATATGAAAAACAATGTTAGGTTTCAGACATGAAGGCAGCAGCAAACATGGCTGCTGTTGAATTTAAGAAAATATCCATTGACATCAATCTGTAATTGATACAAGGTTAATAAAACGATGTTTTTTCAAGGACAACATGACAACTGTAACTGTTAGGCTGCACTTTAGTATTAATCTAGCACCAGAATATATAAAATTATGGCATCATGCAGTTTATCATATTTTGACCTATAGATCTATGTATATATTAAACCACTATAATTTCCCCCTTTGTTTAGAGAACAATCATATTTGATCAATTTAACCTCAAAGACACCAGTTTTATAACATAATTTGTAATTGTCCACAAAGCAGGGTCATCTCATTTGAATGAGGAAGTGCTGCCACTTTAAAACTCCCTCCAGTCATTTAACATTTACATGTTTAATTAAACATGCCAACATCATTAAGAAACCATTCTCTGAAAACTCTACAGCAAACTGAAATAAGCTGTACTCAACATTTCAGTCATTGAAACTCAGATGTCCTCTATTGCCATGGTGACTGACATTTTACATCTGTCAGTGTCATCTGACTGCATTTGAACATCACCTACAATGTCACTTCCGGCCTTTTCTCATTAGGACATTTGGCACCTGTTTTATGCCTTTCCTGACACAACCCTGACTCGAACACAGTCCACAGCGGTGAGAGTGCTGCACCTTAACCACTAGTTTATCAGGGAAGAGGGAACGTCACCTACCATTCTACCAGCTATGCAAACATACCAAAAGCAGATCACCATCCTATTGGGAAAATGAGGCGTCAGTGTTGGAACTCCATCATCTGTCTCTCAGTAACTTACTAAATTACTCTGCACATCCGTAGGCCTGTCTGGTATTAATGCACTGTACTTGATTTAGCGCATTTTTGACCTATGCGGGGGGGGG